TTTCCTTTATATTTAACCGGCTTTGTTTTCGCCGAAATCAAAAGATAAATGTAGTTGTATTTGTCGAACTGAAACATGGTGTGGAGGTGCTTCCTTACTGTCCTATATTGACAGCATCACCTTGATAAGGTGTTATGATCATAAAATCCCTACAGTGTGGAAGCAGGCCATTCGGCCCATCGAGTCCACACCGACCCTCGGAAGAGCGTCCCACCCAGACCCATCCAATCCCTGTAACCCTGCATTCCCCATCGCCAACCCTCCGAGCCTGCACTTCCCTGCACACTATGAGCAATTTAGCACGGCCAAACCTACACATCTTCGGACTGTGGGGGTAAGCTGGAGCACCCAGAGGAAACCCACACAGTCATCCAAGAGTAGGATCAAATCCATGACTTTGACGCTGTAGTGCTAACCACTGAGCCACCATGCCACCTTCTCTACCTTAATTAGTTTGTACAGTTTGGAAATATTTACTATTTTGGTTAGACCCTCAGCATGTGACTGTCATACCTATCCTGTTATTTCCAGTTATTTTAGTTTTTTTGTAATTATCTGTCTGCCTCATAATCCCTTATAGGCCATCCCTTCACTTGTTATTCAGCTGTTGACACTTTACTCACACCATCTATCACTCTTGGTTACCTGCAGGGACTTATTATTGGACACTCCACTCACACCAGTTCTATCTCTCTGCCCTTGATTTCTCTGTCTATAAATTTGTCTGTGTGCTCTTTTCTCACACTTCACCTGACAAAGAGGCTGCTCTCTAAAAGCTTGTGATATTAAGTAAACCTGTTGGACTATAACCTGGTGTCGTGTGAGTTAAAATACGTGTAAGTACAGTTCCATATGTTGTGCACCTTTTGATGGTATTTATTGAGTCAACCTGAAGGGTCTAGGCCCGAAACGTCAGCCTTTCTGCTCCTATGATGCTGCTTGGCCTACTGTGTTCATCCAGCCCTGCACCTTGTTGTCTCGGATTCTCCAGCATCTGCAGTTCCTACTATCTGTGAAGACCATAATTCAATCTGTGAATCCACAAAATAAAAAAAGACAACTGGAGATCGGAAACAAAAACAGAAATTGCTGGCAAAACTCAGCAGATCTGGCAGCAGTTCCAATTAAGAGACAATGGCCTTGAAAATGTTAACTCTGCTTTCTCCCCACAGATGCTGCCAAACCTGCTGAGTTTCGCCAGCAATTTCTATTTTTGCTGCCAATCCATGAATTTCACCCTGTCCTTTTTTTTATTGATAAGATTTGTTAACAGTACAAATCGCACTACTAATTTGGCTATACAATGCAACAAACTCTTGGATCTTATCATCTGTATTACACTGCTGCATCTGAGCCACATGCATCCCTCATCCATTTGGAAAACTGTTCACTTTTATCTGTTACTAAAAAAGTTTCACACACATTATAAAAGGATACTTTCAGCACAGAAGGGAGAAACGATGAAGAAACATTAATCAGGCTTAAAGCTTGCATACTTTAAGAAAGTAGTTGAAAAATCACAAAAATAATAAATATTATATTTAAAAAGACTTTAAATTATGCCAAAAAGGAGGGAAAGAGCATGAGTTTTAAATCAGGGTTAATTTAGTACAGGTATCAAGAGAAACATTCTTACCCCAATGAAAAACATTTAAAATAATCTACCAAGCAATGTAGTAGAGGCAAACCAGTGTAGTTATTTAAAATACAATTACATATATCCCAGATTTTTCCCCATTGTTGTAAAGGTCACAAAGTTCAAAATGTGAACATCTTTCCCGATTATAAAGAACAATAGCCTACGCCTTAAATTTAAAGGTATTAATTCAAGAACAAAGTTCTAATGCTTTCCACAATCTACCATTTTGTTGTCATGGTTTATAAGAACAACCTTACTGAATTACCATGTTAGGGGGCAGGTTATTTTCTATGTGCCCATCAATCTGAACCTTTTTAGCAAATGGCCATGGGACAACTATCCATGACATTAGATGACTATTGTTCCCTTGCCTGCCTTAATCTGAGGGTTTGTTTACGATTCTTTCTGAGAACAAATACTTATTTTCAAAAACAATATACTGACAGGGTCATAAAGAACTACAGATGCTGTACATTAGAAACAAAAACAGAAACTGCTGGAATAACTCAGCAGGTCTGGCAGAATCTGTGGAGAGGGTCACTCAATCCAAATCGTTAAGTCAGACTTCTCTCCACAGATGCTACCAGACCTGCTGAGCTTTTCCACTGACAGGGTATGTTTGGTACCAGATAATTGTTGACGCTAATTCATGGCATTATGTCCTTTTTTTGTAATTTTTCACTTTAATTTCACATGTGAGAACTTTGAAATTGTAGGTACAGCTGTACTAGCTGTTAAATGAAATGCTGTGCTATACAGTAAATACTAGGAAAATTTAGTTTTTAAGGGACACCAATATTCAACAGCCTGTATCTAATAAAACTTGATGTTCAGACCCCTCCCGATTACATGTGCTCCCTGTGGTGATTTGTTTCATTTTAGACTCATATTTAGATCAACACTATTCATTACTCTGGATCCTCACATCCCACAGCACTTGACGGATAGATTTTCTACACCAGATGTTATCTTTTTATCTTCCTTTATCATTTGGTACTTGGTCTCTGGTAAATTTCTACACAATATTTGTAGAAGTAAAACTTGTAAATATTCAATTATCTGCACCAGGTGGGAGATGTTCCTCCCTTCACTATGGCTGTTCATGATCGTTTCTGTAAACGGTTGTATTGCATTTATTGAGTATTGTTTAATTTGGGCTTGATAACATACATTCATGTTAGCACCTTTTAACGTAATAAATATCCCAAGGCACTTCACAGAAATTTCATTAAACAAAATTTGATACTGAGCTATACAAGGTGAAACCTGAACATGTGACCAAAAGGTAGGTCGAAAGGGCCATCTTAAAGATGGTGGAGCAATTTAGAGGGAATTCCAGACATCAGACATTAAGTGGCTAAAGCCACAGGTGGAAAAATGGGAAAATTTGCTCCATTCAATTGCAGAGTCAGAACAATGTCCACATGGGTATAGATCAAGGCCATATTTATCAAAAGAGCACAGTCTCAATTGATGCAGTTTACATATCAGGGAAGTTCTAACGTGGATCTGCTCAGAGTTAGCTGACTCAGAATAATAGCAAAGGTGTAACTTAGCACGTTCCTGGCTCATGGATCAGTATTGACTAGAAGATGTTATAATGGAGACGTTGAATTTTATTGCAAATTCTGTAATGGTCAAGTGGATATAATTTATAGTTCTTTAAAAACAAACTTTATGAATAAGTATGCAGTCTCATAACTCAGTAGAAACTGGTGTACAGTGAAAAGTTTATTTCAATTGCACTTTCCATCATTATCAATTTGAAATATCTTGTCATTAGGCTATATGCCAAAATGGAACATTTACTGTAAGTACAAGGGATCCCCAATTTACAAACACTCACGCTCATACTTACGAACGCTGTCCCATACAGGGTGTAATTTTCAAAGACTCAACATTCAACCGTTAATACTTACAAATGGCTGTTTTACATTGTCCTTCATCGAGATCTGACTTGCATACAAATCAAGTTGCCAACAGACTCTAGACCCTTTCACAGCTCAAAGGCTACTCGTATCGAGACCATCACCCTTGTATAGAGACACCGAGGAGTGAAACATGATGTATAAAGACAAGTTGAATTTTGTTGCAAATTCTGTAATATTCAAGTGGAAATAGCTTGTATTGAAATTGTAATTGAAGTCTACTTGGGTTATGATTATTCCCAGGTCCTTAATGGTTTGATGATGCTTCTGCATTTTGCTCTTTGTTGCAACAATGTTCTCATGAGATCAGGGTGACTTGGCTGTCAAAATGTTACTTTAAGTATTGTTGAGAATACTTAACAATTAAAATTAGGGAGATTAAAAGAAAGACAGGAGATCATTGGTAATTCTGTTTATTTTCATGATACTGTTTCAATGTTAGATACTGAGAAACATGCACTAATAGCAACTTGTCATCACAATAATCTGCCTGTGATGAGTTGGATGACACTACAGTGCACTCTCGAGAAACTGTAGCAAATATTCTGGGAGAAAACACCTTAAAATGGAACAGCATTCCACAACATACCCTGGGGAGACCAACCAATTTGTTCCACATAGTTAACACGTTTAGTAGTAACATGCCTCCATCCTCAGTGCACTGAATTTTTCCTCACTAATATGAAATAGAATAATAAATACCAGAAGAGCAAAATAGTTGATCTATTTAAAAAAACATGCATTTATCAGGTAACAATAAGATAATTGCAGCAAGGTGATTATTCAGACGGTGAACTGGCAGGGAAATAAATTGAAAACCATACATAAAATAAATTGTTATCTCATAACTTCCAGAACAAAAGATCAGAAAAGTAAATTTCAGACAGGAGAGCAGTTTCTGTGATGTACATACATAATGCGAATCAAGACAAAATGCATTTAGTGCATGCTACCATTTTTCAATCTGTCTTAATTAATCCTCATCAGCTCTATGCAGGCCATATTTAGGCTGCAAACAGAATGAACTAAACTTTTTAGTAGTGCATAAAATTCAGTTCTGAGGAAGGGTCACTGGACCCGAAACATTAACTCTGATTTCTCTCCAGAGATGCAGCCAGACCTGCTGAGCTTTTCCAGTAATTTCTGTTTTTATGTTTGTAATAGTGCATTTCATTCTGCAGAGTTCCCAACACAAAAAAAAATGCAGAAGGAAAGGATTCCTCCCCCTTCATAAAATTAGCATCTTTGAAATACAATTAGTTTGCCCCACCCCAAAAACTCCTCTCAGAGGATTAAGTGTTTGCAAATATAATAAAAACAAACAATAACCAGAATCCTTTGCTTTCTTCACATCCACAATATCACTGGCATTTCAAAAAGAAGCTCTCAGAATATATAGACAATCAGAATGAAAGCAGTGCATGGCTGCTTTCGTTCGTGGTTTCTGAAGCACTTAGCATTCACGATTGGTAAACATACTACTGTACATGGTATGAAATGTATATTAAGGAGTTGGTTTGGGCTGTGCCAGGTCACAGTGTATCCATCTTTATGCACCATTATGTAAGTGATATTAGCAGAATACATTATGAAAGTTCTCCACATATTTTAAGGATAGTGCCAAAATTTTAATCAGGTCCAAGTACTGTAATAACCTTTTCAGGATGCAGATCGGTACTTCTAATCGCATAATCATTATGTCAATGTATTTACTGCACAGTCCCTGCATTTGTAATAAACAGAATATTCTTGTAGCATTTCTGCAGAGTTTGAAGCGACATGTATCAGTTTACAGCAATTGCCATTGTCATGCTCGGATTGTAATTTTCCAAAAGGAGTCTTAATGATGTACATCATGTAAGCTGTTGATTTATACAAGTAACCAACATAAATAATTCGACAGCCTTCATAATTATTCTTCACCATGGATACAATGGTCTTTTAACAGACTTCTGAGGACTATGGATTGAGTTTGTATGCATGATTCACAGTGCTCAGTTGATGCTGATACGTACAGACAATCAGATTATGAAATGTAGTGGAAGTGGGAGAAGGAGCAATAAAACTCTATATTAACTTCCCAGTTTAATGAAGACAGATTGTTGGCTCCGTTTCGGCGATGAGTCACTTAATGGAAAGACTGACGAAATGGCTACATCCACTATGCCTTGACAAAGTTCAGCATAGAGTTTCCTGAAAACAGCAAAAAATGGTTTAATATAAAATATTTCATAACCTAATTAGTTACCAAAACATAACCAAAATACTGCAGATAGTGCAAATATTAAATAAACACAATACTGAAAATAATCGGCTAGACAGTATCTGCAGAGACAGAAACAGAGTCATGGACTTTGAAACATTCAACTGTCTCCCCACAGACGCTGCCTGATGCACTAAGCATTGCCAACATTTTCTTCACTTACAGAAAAAGGTAATTTATCTGAATAATGCCTCTTGTGCTTAAAGCAATTTTGATCAAATTAGTTGTTGATATTCCCTATCATTGTTTTATAGAATTGCAATGAATATATAAGCATGATGGAATAGAGGAATTAACTAATCATTAGTAGTTTGGATGTAGTCACACAACTACATCAATGTCCACGTCAGACTGCTTCAGATACCGTGATAGAATACTGGCAGTACAACCTGGGTTGGCAATCAGAGCCGATGAAGTGACAGCTGTAGAATGGCCTGTGATAGGCAGTCTCACAAAACTTGAGCTTCACAATGAGTGTAGTGAACCCTAAACCTGAAATTCCATTTGTAAAAGGTCCACATAGCCTCTCAAGATAAAAGCTGAATTGAAATATCACATGACAATTGTCACTATCATGGTATAGAGTGAGGAAACACGGGTAGATATAGCTTTCCTCCAAATCAAAATCAAACTAACTACCCACGAAATCATGCTTTGTGCGTCCATCCTGTTTCAGCACCCCCTTCAATAAATTATTTCATGCTAGACACATTACACAAATGGTTAAAGTTGGTTACTGAGAGTTGGCTTATTAAGCTACATAAGTGACTACACTTCAAAACTACTGGATTGGTCACAATGCACTTTCGCATTTCTTAAAGGGCGTGAAAGGTGCTACGTAGTACAAGTTCTTTCTTTCTACATAGAATAAACTTAACTGTCTGGCCGTATTCAAACCTCAGGATGAGGCAGAGAGATGAGCTGTTCACTTCATCTACAAATGATGTTATTTATCGGAGGGTGACATTCGCCAAACAGCAGTCTGTTGGAGATCGTGTGTGGTTTGATTTCTGTCATCATGTGTAGATCGGAACCCAGCCAACTTTCAGAACAAATGGCACAGGTCACTCAGTCATCTCTATCTGCACATTATGTAATTGACAATGTGAAAAGCTGTCACTCTAGTTAAGTAAATTATTGATTTTAAAAAAATCTTTCAGCATATCTAAAGAAAAAGATTCTAAATGATACTTTCCAAGGCTCATCCACCCCAACTAAATCTCAGTCTGAAATCATCAGGTCCACTAAAAACAAAATAGTGGGATTTACATTGTAAGAAGTGACCCAATGACCAAAAGGGAGACAGGAATCCAACTCAACTTGTGTTTACAACGCATGTCAGGATCTGGAGAAAGTCCTGATGTGTGCACAGGTGCAGAGTTACACGGAAAGTTTAAAATACCAATTGCTGGTTTTACTCTGCCCAGATTGCTCATGGACTCCAAGGACAGTGAAATAAGGTACCCGGGATCTCAGGAACCTGGACTATTTGCTCTATACTTACCCTGTATCTTACATATATTTGTTCATAGCCAGTGTCAAGCCTGCACAGGAACACAGCTTTTTAAGTAAATGAACTGGAGTGCCAAAACGTAGTGAAGTTAAGCACCACCCCTAGCAACATTCACATCAACATCCCCCTGCCCCCCCACCAGTAATGAATGCTTCCCCAGCCATCCAGTACTGCAACTGTGTCATCTCCCCCCTCCCCACCCCCACCCCCTAAAATGTGGACAGTAGCCATCCTCTTCACGCCACAGGCAGTGCACACCACATCCCCACATTGTGGACAGTGCTTATGTCCAATTCCTCTCACATCATACATACACTACTTGTCCCCCTCCACACTCACCTTCTGGAATCTCTGGATCCTGAATGGCCCATGTAAGAATCAGCATTGTCAGGGAATTAGGGGATTGAGCATTTTTTGATGTTGAAATATTGCTATTTTTAAGCCTTGGTTTCTTTCCCATGCAGTTTACTGGTATATTACTACTGATGATTGTTTATGGCCACTTGTTTTCACAACTGGCTTGCACTCATCTTTCAAAAAGGGAGATCCAAGATGGGAGTAGGCTTAAAAGGAGCCTAAACATCAGGACAGACCTTTTGGATCAAATATCCTATTTCAGTTCTATATATACTGCGACATTTCTCTAATTTCTTCTGTGCATTTCATGCAATAACCTTGTTAATTTTATTAATAACAGGCTTTGAATTTCAATATGCATGGCACAGAGGAAATGTGTCCCCACAGCACCACAGTGTGGGAAAAAAGTTGGCAGAAATAAAAATATAATGACTTTAATTGGATGATTTAGGGCATATTATGAACTTTGTTTTAAAAATACATTTGGCAAAGGAACACACAAAGTACAGCACACAAAATAGACCATGAGGCCCCATGGTTTATACTCCTTGGAACTCTTACTAACCCTCTTTATCCAATTCTATGAGCATAATGGAATGGTGGAGGCAATGCTGTGGTGGTGAATGTCACCGGACTAGTAATGCAGAGGCCCAGGCTGATGCTCTCAGGACATGGGGTCAAATCCCAATTTGATAACTGCTAGAATTTAAATTAAGATGATCTGGAATTGAAAGCCGATCTCAGTAATAGTGGCCATACCAACTATAGTCCATTGTTGTAAAAACCCATCCAGTTTGCATGTGACTCCAGATGCACAGTCACGTGGTTGACTCTCTACTACACTCTGAAATGGTCCAGCAATTCAAGGGCAATTAGGGATGGACAAAAATACACTGACTTTGCCAGTGACACTCCTATCCCAGGAAAGAATAAAGGTAAAAACAGATACAGGTCCATTTATCAGAATTAACACAATTATCTTGTGAAGTGTTTTATAACACTAATAAGCAATTATAAGAGATAACAAAGTATGGAGCTGGAGGAACACAGCAGGCCAGGCAGCATCGGAGGAACAGGAAAGCTGATGTTGTGGGTCAGGACCCCTCTTCTGATGTTGTGTTCCTCCAGCTCCACACTTTGTTACCTCGGACTCCAGCATCTGCAGTTCTTACTATTTCATGCAATTAAAAGGCTTTATTTTGGAATAACCTAGAAAATGACTTCTTAATTATTCGCAGATTGATACTGAAACACCTACAAGCACAATAAAATTAAGCCATGTCAGAACATCTAGGTGAACTGCCGCATAAAGCACCAACAAACAGCAAACTTACTGAGCACAGGCAGGAGCTCCATTCACTTCAATTAGCCAGACTTTGAGATCTTCATCAACCATAAAGTCAAACCCAAACAGTTGAAAGCTATGGTATGGGAGCAGCTTAGTGGCGATTGCAGGTTCTATACACATGAGGCAGCTTCTAAAGATAAAACAAAGACAGGAGTTGAAAGTTTCACAAGTTAACAAGGATCAGCAAGATCAAGTGAGAATGGAAACCAGAAAACAGATGAATTTTTAAAGCTGTCAGATACCCCATTATGACTTCTTAATCACACATTTTACATCCTTTAATTTTCCCACCTATATATAGAGTATTTTGCAAGTTCGCATCTAGCCCTAGGGTTGTTAACCCTACAGGATAGCCCCGGACTCCTCAAGAATTCAAGGTTAATGCTCAGGGCAATGCTGCAAGCCACCCGGAGAAACGTCATATCAGTTTTACTTTATTGCTGCTAATGCCACTTCCTACCAAGACTTCATTTGACAGATATAAAAAGTTTGGAAATGGCGAAAAGTCTTCTGAATAGCCAAGTCTAATCTAACAAGGTAATAAATCCAATAAATTGGATAAGAAATTTCTCTTCCAATTGGCCTGTAATTTTTAGTGTGTTTAGAGGATCAACCTATAGTGACACATGGGAGAAAGGGTAGTTCAAGCGATGTGATGCATTCATGTGATATCTCCAGGAATAGATCAAACTAGAGTTGGCAACCTCATCAACGCCACAACTCACCCCAAAAAGAAACACAGGTGGATAAGTTACCAACCACATCAGTGGCAAGTTGTTAAATACAGAGTTTAAACTGTAAAGCAGTCAGTTTAATTTATCTGGATTTTCAAAATGCCTTCAATATGATGTCCCATAATAAACCAATTAATCAGGTCAGCATTTGTGGTGTCGGGGACAAGTCAAAACATGAATTACTTGCTGCGTTAACAGAAAGCAGAAAACGGGAGCAAAGCAAAATTGTGTACCTTGGGGACCAACACTAAGCAGAAGGAGTGAAGGGAACACATTCAACACACTAGAGAGGAAAGGCCTACAAGAACTCAAGAGATACAGGAACATTGTAATCCTACCAGCGGACAAAGGGTGCATGATTGTCAGACTGAACAGAACACAGAACATCAAGAAAGTGAACACTTTACTCACAGATACCGACACCAACCAACACCACAACTGGAAAATGGTATTATAACCACCCAGAGGAATCTGCACAAAATGGGTGAAATTAGCAAATTTGATTACCAGAGAATGAAACCAGAGGGATCAAACACACACCGCTTCTATGGACTCCCCACGGTACACAAGCTGGAGGTCCCCCCAAGACCCATAGTCTCACTGCTGGGTACACCGACATACAGATTAGCGAAAGAACTACAAAGGATACTGAAACACCTAGTAAACGGTTCAAACCACTCCATCCACTCCGCCCAAGAATTCCTCAACATCATCAAGGACACCAGAATAGATGAGGACGGGATCACGGTCTCCTTCGACATGACTGCACTATTTACCTCCATAAATATCCCTCCAGCCAAGGGAGCACTAGCCTCACTATTAAACAGTCCAGGGATATAGACACCTGACAACACCAACACCATCAGCAAAGACGTCACCCTCAAACCACTGGATCTGTGCCTCACAACCCACTTCACCTTCAACGGCAAGGTGAAAGGACAAATTAACGGAACACCCATGGGATCACCGATATCAGGATTAATAGCGGAAGCTGTAATGCAAAGACTGGAATGGACAGCTCTCCCCACCATCCAACCCAAACTAAGGATCCGCTATGTAGATGACAACTTTGTTATTATCAAATGCTCTAAACTGGAGGAAACCCATCTACTCATAAACTACATCCTTACCAGCTAAAATTCACCGGGCAAAAGGAGAACAACAACAGACTTCCCTTCCTGGATGTAACAGTCAAACGCAAGGTCAATGGTGAACTCCAGACCAGCATACACAGGAAGGACACCCATTCAGATCAGGTACTCAACTACACCAGCAATCATCCCAATACCCACAGAACCAAGGCCGCATCAAAACACTGTTCAAGCGAGCCGCAACACACTACAGCATCCCGGAACCGCGCAAAGCTGAGGAAGAACACCTATACAGCGTCTTTCGAAACAACGGTTACCCAAAAAGCATAGTCCGCCAATAACTATACGACAGACCACAACAGGAAGACACAACATGTCCAGAGACACTAGTCACTCTACCATACATTAAGGACATATCTGAAATGACTACCAGATTACTCTGCCCCCTAGGAATCATGATAGTCCACAAACCAACAGCTACACTAAGACTGCTACCGATGAGAATAAAGGATCTGACAACCACAACTAACAAAACCAACGTTATTTACTAGATACCATGCAAAGACCGCCAAAAGCATTACATAGGGCAGACGATATGGAAATTAGCCATCAAGGTTCACAAACACCAACTAGCTACCAAGAGACATGACCAACTATCGCTCATTTCAATACACATGGACAAAGACAGACACCAATTTGACTGGGACAACATCGCCATCCTAGGACAAGCCAAGGAAAGACATGCACAAGAATTCCTGGAGGCCTGGCACTCAAACCGGAACTCATTAACAAACATGTAGAGCTGGATCCCATATACCAACCACTAAGAAATAAATCTAGAAGTGATGCCACCCACCCCAGCAAACTGAGACTCAAATAGCAAGCGGAACAGAACACCAACACTTAACCAGAGGCGCACTGATGTTACCTAGTAGGGTGACAAAACATCTGCAAACAAACTTATCAGCTTGGCAACAACCGCATCAACAACCCGAGCTACAAATCTTCACAAAATCCTAAACCTATATCAAACCCAGGTTCGACCAGGCTGAAGAATACCAGATGCTTTTCTGATGTTTTTTTTTAAAACATCCGTTCATGGGATGTGAGCAATGCTAGTTCGGCTGGAATTTACTGCCCATTCCCAATTTCCCTGGAGTATAATGCGAGTGACATTCCTGAACCACTGCAGTCTTTGGGGGAAGGGGCAATCATAATGACATTAGAAAGGAAGCTCCAGGATTTAGACCCAGCAACAGTGAAGGAATGGCAATTTAGTTCCAAATCAGGATGGTGAAAGACTGTGTGAACTTGTACATGGTAGTTTTCCTATGGATCAGCTATTCTCGTCCTTCTAGATGGTAGAAGTCACAGGTTTAGAAGGTGCTATTGAAGGAGCCTTGGTGAATTACTGCAGTGCATCTAGCAGATCGTAGACACCATTTGCCATTGTTCATTGGTGCTAGTCAAGGGGACTGCTTCATCCTGGATGAGTTCAAGATACTTGGGTATTCTTAATTAATAAGGGAATCTAGGGCTTTTGTGAAAAGACAGGAAAGTTGAGTTTGGGGTTATCAGATCTCACTGAATGATGCAGACTTGATCGGCTGAATAGCTCGATTCTGCTCTTATCAAAGCTTTACTCATCCAGCAAAGTGGAATGAATTCTATCAGATTTTGGATTTGTGCCTTGTAGATGGTGGATATACATTGGGGAGATAAGAAATGAGTTACTCACTGCAGCCAGAGTATTTGCATGGCTAGTTTCAAAGAAAAGTCATATCAGACTTGAAAGGTTAAAATTTGTTTCTCCCTGCAAAGATGCACTCTGTTTTTATTTCAGGTCTCCAGCATCCACAGCACTTTGCTTTTATTTATATGGCTAGTCCAGTTCAGTCTTTGCTCAATGGCAATTCCCAGTATACGGATCATTTTTTCTTGGAGGGTGGTGGTCAGCCACTGAATGACAGACGGTGAAGGTTAAATAATCTCTTATTCAAAAGGGTCATTGACTTGCACTCATATGGTACAAAAGTCACTTGTGCAAATGCAATGTCCATTGTTGGGCTCAGAAATGACACGGGCTGCTTCAGTTTTTGAAGGGTCACTAATGGTGCTCAAAAATGGTACAATAAGCAGTAAATATTCCCATGATGGAGGGAAGGTCATTGGTGAAACACCTGAAGATAGTTGGGCCTAAAACACTACACTGAGAAGCTCCTGCAATGTGGTCCTGTTCAAAGGAAATAGAGGTATTACAGGGGTGTAGATAAGATTTCCCAGAAACACGTGGGTATTACACCATACAGAGAAAACTGACAGATTTCAGGGTCAATAGTGTGATGGGTGTTATTCTGCAACCAGCTACTAAACAGAAAAAAAACAATCGTCATAATCCAGCTGTCTCTCAATAATTTGTCAATGAAAAAAGTGAGTTCAGGAACTTGTACCAACACCAAAAGGGGGCAGAAAAACCTGCTTACAACCAATGACACTCAATAACCATCAAGTAGCAATAAACAACCCAGTGCCCCTTACCCTCAGCAGATACTGGTCTCTGAGCCTCCAAATCTTCCTGCAGAGAATATGCACCAGTTATTAATTTAAAATCAATAGAATGACGATTAAATAAAAATAAGTGAGCCCAAATAAGGGTCAGTCAATGCAGAAATTCAAAATAACTTCAAAGTGCACCTTATGATTTGCTTGATTTGTGGTAAAATACTGTTTTCCAAGTTAACGTTGTGAGTGTTCATTAAATACTGATTGAAATCTTCAAAAAACATTTCGTTGCCTTCTTCATATTTCCCATAATTCTTGGAGTATTCTTTCTGAATACAATGATTTGTCAGATGACTGGTTTTGTCTTGAAAATCAGTGCTATTGTATGGATCAGAGGAAGTCCGCAATACACCTTCCTTATAGAGGTAAATATTATACTGGTGATCAAGAAGTACCCAGCTTCTGGAAGTACAAGGAAAGAAACACACAGTAAGTACTTGCAAGACAGCAGAGGCCTGTAATACAAAACAAGCCACCCAGTCATTCTCATCTGCCAACTCCATTCTAATGCATGTCAATCTATTGTTTTACCAGTCTTCAACCTCTTCAGAAAGAAGCTTTTATACAGTAACTTGCATGACGTAATTTCAAAAGTACATTCCAGCCAATGAAATACTTTGAATTGTTGTATTGTACCAACCAATTTTGTACACAGAAAGGTCCCATGAGCTGCATCAAAATATCAGATCATTTATTTTACCAACACTGATTGCGGATAAATATTAGCCTAGACAATTGGGAAACCTCAGATGTTCTTCTCTGAATCGTGTCCTAGAATAATTTGATGACACCCCCCACACCCCGCCTCCCAATTTCTCCTTTGGTGCTGCATTCTTTTTTATCTAATTAATGTAGAACAAATTTCCAAGTGTAAAGGTGCAACTACAAGTTGCTGCTTGCGTCTGAAAGATTCATGCACTTTAGTTGTGTCAGCTTGAAGAAAGCCTACACATATTCTGGATGTGTCCTTCTTTCTCACTACTGCCTCAGTACCCAAATAGCTAATTAAGACTTTCAACGCTGAGAATACCAGTCTAAAATAATTTCAAAGCAACATACTGTTTTGCTTTGCAGTTTGTGTGGCTATGGACAGTCATGACCCTTTTACATTAATACAATAGTGAAATACTCTGGATGCTGAAAAACTAAAGCAAGACCAAAAAGAATGATGTAGATCAGGCAGCATTAGTGGAGAGTCATCAACAAATCAGCAGAACTGAAAACAGATAGAAATGTAAGAAATTTCATGTAAGGTGCTGTTACTTCGACCTACAAAAAGATTCAATGGAAGACTACCACAGACCATGGACAGAAAGGTCAGAATGGGAGCAAAAAGGAAAACTAAAAACAACAAGCAAACCAAAGCTCAGGCTGATGCTTGCCAAATGAAAAGAGGGACTCTGCAAACTGGTCACCAGCCTGCATTTGGTCTCACTAATGTGGAGGAGACCACATTGCGAGCGGCCAATACAGTGTGCTAAATTAAAACAAAATTAAATCGCTGTTTCACTTGAAATAAAACAGTATAAAACATTTAGCAGTGAGAATGGAGGCGAATGGAGGAAATGGCAGATATTGAATCTCCTACATTTACATGGAAGATAGAAAAGGGAACGGCTGTTAGGGTGACTAAGGAGCGGGCTAGCATGTCACAACAGGAATGATACCCACAGAATAAAACAAAGGACTACAGATGCTGGAGATCTGAAACAAAGAAAAACAAATTGCTGGAGAGACTCAGCAGGTCTGGCAGCACTTATGGAGAGAAAACAGAGTTAATGTTTTGAGTCCAGTGACCCTTCTTCAGAACAAGGAGGAGGATAATCTGTTAAAAAGAGAGGCTGGAATGTCATGGCGACAAGAGGAACCTTATCATTGTGCTGGGAAGAGTTGAGAGCAGAAGTGCCTGAAATGGACTGGATACATTGCAGGGCCTTGTCAACCAGGTAGGGGAGAGTGCTCGCTAATGGAAAGAGGCAGACATGTTGGAATCGCTGAAATGAAATGTTGCATCATCGCCACAAATGTGTTGAGACCACACCAGGAATATTGTGCGCAGTTTTGGTATCCTTATCGGAAGAAAGATGTTCTTGCTATAGAGGGACTCCAACATTTGCATGCTTTACCTCAGCAACTGATGTGCAAGGACACCCAGATCTCTTTGCACATTCCTCTTTCTCAAGTTTATCTATCTTTAAGGTCACTAAACCTTCTAGTAAAACTAAAAGATGAAGTCACTATAGTCATGAGGCTGCTCTCTCATTAGATAGAGATGACTGGTCATAGTTTAACCGGAGGATCATCACGCATCAAGTGAGGAAAGATTTTGAGAAGGGGAATCCTTCATGGTAACCTTAAGAATCATAATGAAACTGGTCTTTCATCTTGTATTTAATTAAGAGTTTTCAATGGATATGCTAACTGCTGAACCCAGGTGCTGGTAGCTATGTTCACTGAATGACAATCACCGAGAGACTTCTTTGCATTCGGATTTGAAGGTGTCCTTCTGACTGAGAGCTGATGAGAAGTTATATTCTGTTTTGATAAATTAAGAAAATATCTTCTTGTTTGCAATACATCAAATATCATTGCTCATTATCACAATGTACTGAAATCACATTTCTCTTTCTGATCATCTTAACTTACTACTCAATCTTACATACCTCTATCAAGTTACCGCCCCCACTCTTCTCTGCTCCAAAAAAAAACACAACCTGAGCTCATCCAGCCTCTCCTCTTAGCCGAAATTCTCTATCCCAAGTAACATCCTAGTGAATCTCCTTTGCACCCTCTCCGTAACAGTTAACTCTGGAACAGTAAGCTTCCTAATCACAGGGCAAGGTCTATTCACCACTATAAAACCATTGAAACAGAGGAAAAAGTACTGAAAAAGTTCAGACCTGAAGATTGAAGGAAAATTGCTGGCACAACATTGTGACTTCAGAATACAAGCCATCAAGAACTTGTGTTAATACAGGAAGGTAGTTTCTCACCTCCTACACCTTCCCGTTAGGAAAAATCGAAAGAAAGACTATTACTTAAATGGAGAGAGATTCCAAAAATGCAGAGCAGAGGGATCTGGGTGCTCTTGTACATGAGACACAAAGTTAGCACATAGGTGCAGCAAATAATTAAGGTTCAAATGGAATTTTGGCTTTTATTGTTAAGGGGTTGGGATTTAAAAATAGGAAAATCTTGCTATCATTGTACAGGGCGTTGGTGAGGCTGCACCTGGAACACACAATTTTGGGCCCCATATTTAATAAAGGATATACTGTCATTGGATGCAGTTCGAAAGAAAATCACTAGGCCGAATCCTGGAATGAAGGTGCTGTCTTTATCCAGAACAGCTTCACAGTTAAGGCCTTTATTCGCTAGAGTTTAGAAAAATGAGGGGTGATATTATTGAAACTTGACAAGGTAGGTGTTGATAAGATGTTTCCACTAATGGTGGAATGTCAAATTAGGAAATACTCATTTATAACTGTGGTGCAAAGGAATTTCTTTTCCCACAGGGTAGTGAACATCCGGAATTCTTTATCCCAGGAAGTACAGAGGCCAGATCATTGCAAGTTTTTAAAAAGAGGAGGCAGACAGGTTTTTGAAATATCAGGGAGTTTACAGCTATGAGGAGTTAACATGGAAGAGGGGTTGTGGCCCTATGCAGATCAGGCATGATCTTACAGGCTTGAGAGGCCAAATGGCCTACTCTTCCTCCTATTTCTTATATTCTTATTCAACGTGCAGTTAGAGAAGGACCAAAACATTTCACGCACCATAAACAAACAAATAAACAAACAGCCTTCCATTACCTGATGTCAAATTTGCGATGTCCTGGTTCTAACAGTAAAGGTCTCTCGAGGTATTTCTGAATCACGTGAACTTGACCTTGATTATCTATGTAATCCATCAATTCATTAGCGTCAGAAGAAATAAAAATTCCAGTACCTGTAAGAGATATCAATGTACAAATTCAATCAAAAACATATGCTGCATGCAGAGTCAGGATATTGCAATTAAGTAAAGAAAGTGCTTTAATTATTTAGGTCTTTGATAATGGCCTTCTGATCACTCAAGGCACTTCATATTCAAATAACTAAGTGTACATATGATACACAACTTGTGCAAAGTCCAAGTGTGCCTCCAGCTGAATGTCTCTTCTGATAGGTCCCCTAACAATGCAACACTCCATCAGTGATATAATCTGGACTGACACAGTGCATGTTGAAATTGGAGATGTCCCAAAGTTATAGAGAATAAATAGCATGATGCATTACTTCTGCATTACATGCTTTTTATGACAATGAGAAACAGGGTTAGGAGAATACCTACTACAACTTGACATGTATCATCTTTAAAAAGACCACAGAAGAGAGGAAGATGCTTCTGCGGTACATTAATATTGAAATACCACTAAACTATTCAATTGTATTCCAACTCAAAAATCCCCAGTTAAAATAGAAAATGTAATCCTGATAGCTAAGTAGGTAACTACACTATTATTTAAAATACAAGAGCTATACAAGTCAGAGTTTCACAGTCAGATGCAATTAGCCAACCTCATCTATAATTAGACTTGATACATCAGGACCTGCTAGAGGGAAATATTGGCCATGGCCTTAATCCCTGATCAACAATTAGAGACTATCGCTCATTAGTGCATTATTGTGAATGCTGAACAACATTTATAAAAGACCTTCCACAAAGTAAAACAGAAGACCCAAGTCACTTCACAGTTGGAGGTCAAGCCCAAGGACAAACAGAATGTAGTGAAAGGCACTGAGCAGTGTTAGATGTGAAACATTTGAGGGCAAAGTGATGCGGTCAGACAGACTGCAGGCAGGATTCTACAGTAGGAGGATAATTGGGTATACGGTCCGCTATGTTAAAACTGTGTTGAGAGAGGAAATAGGACAATGGAACAGGGTTCAGGATGGATGGAGGATCCACGCAGGGACTTGGGACACTTGAGTCAATTCTTACCATAGCACAACTACAGCTATCTAGGAGTTTTGCACACTACCTGCTGCACAGCCTTATTCTTTGAGGAATAAATCGTACAAGGACTTGGTGAGACCAAACTGGAGTACTGCGTGCAGCTTTTGTCTCCATTTCTGAGGAAAGATGTTCTGGCTATGGAGGGAGGGTTTCCCAGACTGGTTCCTAGGATGATATTTGAAGAGAGACTAGATCAGTTAGGATAATATTCACTTGAGAAGAATGAAGGGGATCGCATAGAAACCTATAAAATTCTAACTAGACTAGTCGGGATAAAGACAGGAAGATGTTCCCAATGACTGGGGAATCTAGGACCAGAGATCATAATTTAAGAGTTGGGGTAAGCCATTTAGGACTGAGATGAGGAGAAATTTCTTCACCCAGAGTGATGAGCCTGTGGAATTCTTGTCACAGAAAGTGATCAAGGCCAAAATGTTGAATCTTTTCAAAGGAGATGGATATAATTCCTACGGCATGGGGAAAGAGTGGGAACAGAGTACTATCAGCCACAATCATATTGAATGGGAGAGCAGGCTTGAAGAGCCAAATGGCCTACTCCTGCTCCTATTTTCTATGTCTCTTTACCTGGCATGCAGCCAGCCACGTTTAACAGTTCCTGGCCCTCTCACAAGAAAACCAGCAATAGACAGCAAGGGACTGCTGGGTTCCCCAGCAACATATTCCCCTGTAACAGGGAATCATTTCAAGTTGATGAGCAGAGAGGCTGCTTAGCAATCAAGAACGAGGGTGGACGGAGAGATCGAAGTGGTGAAGGACTTGTGGGCAAGGTTGATTATAGAGTCATAGGATCATACAGCATGGAAACAAACCCTTCGGTCCAGCTCATCCATGCCAACCAATTTTCCCAAACTAAACTAGTCCCACTTGCCTGCAGTTGGCCCACATCACTCTAAGCAGTTCCTACTCATGTACCTTTCCAAATGCCTTTTAAATGTTGTAACTGTACTTACAAGTTACCATCTCCTCTGGCAGTTCATTCCACATACAAACCATCCTCTGATGGCAGAAGATTTGTTTGAGGGATCCAGGGCTCCTCCTGATTCTCAAGCAACAATATCAAAAGGACTTTTATTTTTTCCTTTATTCATTCACAGGATGAGGGCATCGCTGGCCAGGCAGCATTTATTGCCCATCCCTAATTGCCCAGAGGGCAGTTCAGAGTCAACCGCATTGCTGTGGGTCTAGAGTCACATGTTGGCTAGACCAGGTAAGGATGGCAGTTTCCTTCCCTAAAGGACATTAGTGATCCAGACAGGTTTTTCCAACAATTGACAATGGATTCATGGCCATCATTTAGACTGTTAATTCCAGATATTTATTGAGTTCAATTTCCACCATCTGCCGTGGTGGGATTCGAACCCGGGTCCCCAAAACATTATCTGCGTCTCTGGATTAACAGTCCTGCGGTAATACCACAAGGCCATTGCCTTTCACACATTTGAAGATTTAACATGCAGGTATCAAAGGTAATTCATACCTTTAGCGCCTGCTGAAGATTTGGCTATCCACACGTTGCTTTCTCCATTTTCCTCTCTCTTGTGGTAAGATGCCAAAAATGCTTCCCGATCATCTGTTCTCGCGTTATTTCTTTGTGCTTTGATGCCATTCTTCACAGGTATCAGAGTAGTGTGGAGACCCATGGGATAGATCACATAAGATTCTGGAAACCAGGTGCACGATTCCATCAGCTCTGGGATTGTCTTGATGAGTCTAATTTAGAAAGAGCATGATGCTTCATTGAAAAAGCAAACCATGAACACAAGCAAACTTCAGTACAGAAAGAGACACTTTCCACAAACTCTGGGGCTGCACAAACAAAAACTCTTAGCAGTCAAAAACAAAAATTCATGTCAACTGGTGCTTCCTTGCTGATGAGTTTGCAAGCTTTACAAGCAATGTTTTCGATACTTACCTCCCCATCTCTTGAAAAAGGTAAGATGATGTGCATGTTGGAAATTAAAAACCAACTAAGTTGTTAACTTAAGAAATTCTGAAGACGTGTTACTTAACTTGTGCAAACTCTGGTATTTATGGTCCTGGAAAAGCAACCAAAAATGGAGAATTCAAATTTCACCATGAGAAGGTGCGGGACAGAAATCGATAGATTTGGTGTTTTGTGACCTAGCATCAAAAGTAGCCATAGATGTCAAAAATAAGCTGACTGATTCAATAAAATTCACAGAAGAAATGCACCAACCCAGCAAATCTAGTCCATACGTGACTCCAGTCCTCCACAAATGATTGAGTCTTAGGGCAGCATGGTGGCTCAGCGGTTAGCAATGCTGCCTCACAACGCCGGAGCCCTGGGTTCAATTCCAGCCTTGGGCGATTGGCTGTGTGGAGTGTCCATGTTCTCCTTAGACGATTTAGCCATGGCGAATGCAGGGTTACAGGGATAGGGTAGGAAGCTGGGTCTGGGTGGGATGCTCTTTGGAGGTCGCAAAGACTCAATGGGTTGAATGGCTTCTTTCTGCACTGTAGGAATACTATGATTCTAAAGACGTCTGAAGAAGTCTTCAAGATGTCCCACTGCTACCTCTTTTGACTGTGCAAGCATCACATGAAGGATACACAGGGACACATACACACACAAAAAAAGCCTTCCAATATTCACTGGATAGCACCCAAGAGTAGGAACACAAGACCCACAAGCATATGGGAATTTGTAACAAATTCATAGTTGTTCTAGTTAACTCAGGACAAATCAAAAACAATACCAACAGTAAAGGACACAGTCATGTTCACATAACAGAATCCACTGGACAGGGTGAGCAAAAGTAAAAATATTAAACACTTCAGCAAGAACAAAGGTCTAGACAGACATTCACATTCTTACAATTAAGCTTTTGTGCATCACAGTACCAGAACAACCCTTATCAACGTCACAAATGCAATGTTCCTATGACTAGAATGAAGTATATCTCCTTATCCTTCTTGTGCTGCCTGCAGTTTCTGACTGCACCATTCTCAAAAAACATCTTTCCACTGTCATGTAGCTAGATGGGAAGGCACTTTCCTAGTTCAATTCTGCTCTAAATCACAGTCAAAGACTCATAAGTAATAACTTCTGCTTTTCTGCATCTGCATCATTACCTCTGGTGTCCTCCAGGAATCTATCCTAACCCCCTCCTATTTCTCATCTAAATGTGCTTCTTGGGAGATGTCATCCAAAAACACTTCAGTTTTACCTTACCACCACCTCTCTTGACTGTTTCCATGTTGCTACGTTATTGTTCACAACCATGGTGTCATTACTGTCCCAAGGTGAGCTTCCAAACCCAGATCCACTCCACCATCAATAATGCTTTTTTCCTATCTCCATAACATCAGCTGAAGTCAACCCTGGCCCAACCTCATCCAGGCCTTTGTAAGCCTAGACTTGATTATTCCAACATACTCCTGGTTGGTCTCCCACATTCCACCCTACATTAACTTGAGCTCATCCAAAGCTTTACTGTCCATCTTCTTACTTGCATCAAGTCCCGTTCCCCAACTGCCCTTTGCTCACTGACCTACATCGGCTCCCAGTCAAGTAATACTTAAAATTCCCAATCTTGTTTTCAAATCTATCCATCGTCTTAACCTTGCCCATTTGCGCTTTCTCCTCCATCTCCAAAACCCTCAAGGATATTGGTGCTCATCTAATGATGGCATCTTGAGCATCCTTAATTTTAACTACTCCACTATCAACTGCTGTGCCTTCGGGTGCATTGGCCCTGAGCCCTGGAATTCCCTTGCTGAACTTCTGTAACTCTGCACCTCCCTTCCCTCCTTGTAAACTTACTCTTTGACCTAGCTAGCAATTACCTTTCCCAGTTCTCCTACATGGCTCCATATTTAATTTTGCTTCATTAAGCTCCTGTAAAGTGGCCTGTGATGTTTTGTTAAATTAAGGGTGCTAAATAACACATTGTTGTTAAATCAGACTGATGAATGGATTCTCTAACTTCAAATAATGCTGATCTTGTTAATGTTGATCTTGCCTAGCACATGGTGTAACCTGTATGCCTTACTCTGTCCAAGTTTTTTTGATCCCTATGACCTTGATTACTATGATCTGCATGTACTGCTCTCAAACAAAGCTTTTCACTGTACTTAGGGACATGTGACAATAAATCAAATCAATCAAGCAACTAAATTACTGGCCAGATTCAATTATGCCCAAGTTCTTACGGCAAATAGTTTGCAAAGCTTAAGGCGGCAAAGGACTACAAACGGCTTATTAGAGATTTTCAAGGGCCTTTACGCTGACAGTTCCAGTAGCATTCACGATCAGTACAACAACCATCTCAGCTCCTGGAATGGTTTGTAAACAGGGAAAGATATTCCTCTTGTTCACAGCACCTCTGTGGCATATGATGTGCAACACCAATTTAATAAAACAAATGCATCAAGTTACATCTGCTGAGTTGACTTGAGTTACACGATCGCCAAAACAACTGGGTAATTTGTTTGTAAATTTTAACAATGGGCAAAAAAAAGTACCTTTCAAATTCACAATCAGCTGTCTAAAATAGAAAATACTACACACAATGGGACTGTCACCATTAGCCACTGTTAACACAGCTGACCTTTGAAAGAATTTTGTTTTGTTTTCTTATTCACTGATAGGATCTAGGTGTTGTGATTGCCTTTGAGAAGGTGGTGGTCAGACATAGAAACGCACGGGAATTCCTAGAGGCATGGTTCTCAACCCATAATGCAATCAACAAACATATAGAACTGGACCCCATATACAAACCCATACAGAACAGAACCAGAAATGACAGCTCACCATAACAGACTGGACAGTATAAATTTCAAGCGGAATAGAACAACATCGCTTCATCAGAGGCCTCACTGATGATGTTACCTAGCACGGTGAGGAAACGCCTGAACAAAAACAAGCCAGCTCGGCGAGCAAGTCAACAACTTCACCCACAACCCGAGCTACAAATCTTCGCTAAAACTTAAAGGTGGTGGTCAGTTTCTTGAACTGCTGCAGTCTATGTATTTTAAGTAGACTCACAATGCCACTAGCCTGGAAGCTGTGTACAACACCATCATAAAGGGTGAAATTAGAATTAACAACGTTGACATAAACTTCATTAAATTATAGGGAGGTGATGGTCTAATGGTATTACCATGAGCCTATTAATTTAGAGACTCAGCATACAATGTGCTGAGCACCCAGGTTTGAATCTAATCATGGATTGATGGGGTAATTTGAATTGAATAAAAATTTAAGAAAATAATTAAGAGTCTAAGAGTCATTGTCGAAAGAACCTTTCTGGCTCATTAAAGTCCTATAGGGAAGGAAACTGCATCCCTGCCCAGTCTGGCCTACATGTGACTCCAGACCCACAGCAATGTGGTTGACTCTCAAAATGACCCTCAAAATGGTCTAGCAAGGTACTCCATTGTATCAATCACTAGAAAATCTCAAAACAAGAAATAAAACTGGACAGAACATCTACCGTTCACCTAGTGACCAGAAAAGATAACAGCAAACAGCCTGTAAACACTTCAAAGTCCTCCTTACTAACATCTGGGGGCCAATGCCAAAATTGGGAGAGCTCTCCCATGGATTAGTCAAGCAATAAGCTGACACAGCAATGGTCAGAGATTCATACCTTACAGACAGTGTCCCAGACAACACAATTACCATCCCTGAATATGTCCTGTCCCACCAGCAGGACAGGCCCACTTCCCTAGCAGAAGTGACTGCACAGTGGTATACAGTAAGTAGGGAGGTACCACCCTAAAGTCTCATGGCATCAAGTCAAACATGGGCACGGAAACTTTCTGCTCATTACTGCCCTCCCTTGACTGCTGAATGAGTACTCCATATTGAACAAAACTTGGAGGAAGCACTGAGGGTGGCAAGGGTACAGAATGTACTCTGGGCGGGGAATTTCAATCTTCAGCACCACTACTCCATCACTCTTGATCGAGTTGGTTGAGGCCGAAACAACAAAACTGCTAGACTGGGTCTGCGGCAGGTGGTAAAGGAACCAACAAGAGGGAAAAATATACTTGACCTCATCCTTGCCAAGCTGCTTGCCATAAATACATCTGCCCATGACAGTAACAGAAAGAGTGGCTACCATATGGCCCATGTGGAGACAGAGATCAACATGAATATTTACACCGAGGCCACCTTGTGCCATGCACATTAGAACAGACTTCAAACAGATCCGTCAACTCCAGACTGGCCATCCATGAGGCACTGTAGGCCATCAACAGCAGAATCATTCTTCAACAGTATCTCAACCTCATTGCCCAGCGTATCCCCCGTTCTACCATTTATCAAGCCAGGAAGACCAACCCTGGCACAAAGAAGAGTACAGGAGAGCATGCCAGGAGTAGCAGCAGCATGCATGCTTAAAAACGAGGTGTCAACCCAGTAAAGCTACAAAAAGAAAAGCCTATTTGCACCCCAAACAGCACAAGCAGCAAGTGATAGACAGAGCTAAGCAATTTCACAACTAACAGATCAAACCTAAGCTCCACAGTGCTGCCACATGCAGTTGAGAGGACAATTTAAAAAAGTCAATGGAGGTGGTTCCATAAATATCTCCATCCTTAATGATGTGGGAACTCAACACACGAGTGCAAGAGATAAAGCCAAAGTATTCACACCAAGCTTCATCCAGAAGCACCAAGTGGATGATCCAACTCGGCCCCATCCCCAGCTTCTCAGACGCCAGTCTTCAGCCTATTCTATTCACACCACCTATTATTAAGAAACAGTTAGAGGCTCTGGATACTGCAAAAAACCGTGGGTCCTGACAATATTCTGGCAACAGTATTAATGACTTGCGCTCCAGAAATTGCTGCACACCTAGTCAAGTTCCTAACACCGTTCCATTACAGCTACAACACTGGTATATACCCAACAACGGGAAAGTTCCCCAGTTATGTCCTGTACACAAAAACCAGGACAAATCTAACCAGGCCAATTACTGCCCCATCAGTCTACGCTTGACCATCAGTAAAGAGATTAAAGGTGTCATTAACAGCGCTTCAAACAGCACCTGCTCAGCAACACTCACTCTGCTCCTGATCTCATTACAGCATTGGTTCAAATATGGACAGAACAGCTGAATTCCATGCCACATTTCAGGGAATGTGGCATCAAGGAGCCCTAGCAAAACAGGAATCAATGGGATTCATGGGGAAAACTCTCCACTGGCTAGAGTCATACCTGGCAAGTAGGAAGATGGTTGTTGGACGTTAGTCATCTCAGCAGGAGTTTGTCAGGGAACTGTCTTAAGACCAGCCATCTTCAACTGCTTCATCAACAAGTTTCCTTCGAAAGTGCGGATATTGGCTGCTGACTGCTCAATCTTCAGCATCATTCCCAACTTCTCTGATACTAAAGTAGTCAATGTCTAAATAAAGCAAGTCCTGGGCAATATCTGGGCTTGGGCTGAAAAGTACAAATTAACATTCACACAAATGCCAGGCAATGACTATTTCCAGTGGGATAGTCTAATCATTATCCCCCTAACATTCTGCGCAATACCATCACCGAATTCCCCAATATCAATATCTTGGAGGTTACCATTGACCAGAAACTGAACTGGAGTAGCCATGTTTATACAATGGCAACAAGTGAAGTTCAGATGCGAGGAATCCAGCAACAAGTAACTCATCCCCTGACTTCCCAAAGCCTGCCCCAAGCCAGAAGTCAGGAGCAATATTCCCTCTAACAAAAACAAAGTTGCTGGAAAAGCTCAGCAGGTCTGGCAGCATCTGTGAAGGAGAAAACAGAGTTAAAGTTTCGGGTCCGGTGACCCTTCCTCAGAACTTAATATTCCCTCTAAGCTACATCCACTCCAACATTCTGTACAAGGCGCACAGCATCCTGATGCTGAATCACAGCATTGCTTTCTGGTTCAGTAAGTCACTACCATGCTCAGACCACAGAGGTCTGCAGAGAAGAAAAGAAAATTAGAGGGAATGCTGGTCAGGAGTGTGATGGAATACTCCCCACTTGCCAGGATGAGTGCAGCTCCAACAACACTCAAGAAGCTTGACACCATTGAGGACAAAGCAGCCCACTTGACTGCCACTACATCCCTAAACATCAACTCCCTCCAGCACCAACACTCAGTAACAGCTGTATGCATCATTTACGATGTGTACTGCAGAAATTCACCAAAGTACCTAAGACAGTACCTTCCAAACCAACAACCACTTCCATCTGGAAGGACAAGGGCAGTAGATACATGGGAACATCACCATGTATAAGTTCCCTACCAAACTAGTCATCACGCTGACTAGGAAATTTAATGTGGTTCCCACACTGTCACAGGGTCAAAATCCTGGAATTCCCTCCCGGACGACATTCTGGCCATAGTAGGTCTATCTACAGCACATGGACTGCAATGGTTCAAGAAAGTAGGTCACTATCACTTTCTCAAGGGCAACTAGGGTTGGGCAACAAATATTGGCTCAGCCAGCGACACCACTTCCCATTAGTGAATCAAATAACATTTTCATCAATGCCCTCCACCCTGGAAATGAAGCGTATGCTCAGTAAATATGTTTCAAGAGTGCTCTGTATTTTGTGTACACAGTACAGTAGCCTGGTCTGCTTTCTTATTTAAATCTAGCAATTTACTTACTTGACTAATGAAGCCTTGCGGCAGAGTTTGTCAGCACCCCTGTAATAGTTTACAAGCTGTGCAAGTCCTGGTTCATGACCTGCAAGTAAGCAAAGGCACTATTATTAGAATGTGCATTGTTGAACTTGGCAACACACAACACTCATAACTCACACTTACTTAAAGGGACTATTTTGTATCTATTGTTCAGCATGGAACATGTCTTTGTATGACATTAAATTATTAAAGCTAGGAAGTTGCTTCCAATTCTCAGCTCACTGTCCTAAACTAGGCACGATGCAGCCAATGTAAATGAGGAGCTAGGGGTGATGGATCACAAATCCTAGCAATCAAAAACAGAAAATGTTGTAATTACACAAATCAGTGAATACCCATGCAGCAAACAAGCAAGCAAGTTAATCATAGAGTTATATAGCACGGAAACAGACCCTTGGGTCCAATTCATCTGCGCCAACCAGATATCCCAATCTGATCTAGTCCCATTTGGTAACATTTGGCCCATATCTCTCTAAACCCTTCCTATTCATATACCCATCCAGATGCCTTCTCCTGTGGCAGCTTGCTCCATACACACACCATCCTCTGCGTGAAAAAGTTGCCGCTCAGGTCCCTTTAAATCTTTCTCCTCTCACCTTAAACCTGTGCCCTATAGTTTTGGACTTCCGCACCCTAGGAAAAGGACCTTGGCTATTCACCCTATCCATGCCCTTCATGATTTTATAAATCCTTATAAGGTCACCCTCAGCCTGCAATGCTCCAGTGAAAAAAGCCCCAGCCTCTCTTTGTAACTCACACCCTCCAGTCCCAGCAACATCCTTGTAAATCTCTTCTGCACTCTCTCAAGTTTAACATCATTCCTACAGAAGACAACCAGAATTGTTTGCTGTATTCTAAAAGCAGCAGCAATGCCCTGTACAGCCGCAACCTTCAGCTATAGTTCTTATCCAGAAATGAAAAGAGAGAAAGGAAACTAATGACTGAATGATTTGAGAGATGCTTAAAAGAAAATTGTACAGTGAATTACAAGATCATCTATGTGGAAACTAAGCAAAAAAGACCCGTATTTCTTTGGTACATTTCATAACCTCATGACATCCCAAAAGACAATTCACAGTCTATGACTTTCTAAAAAATACTGCTTCTATTTGAACGTAGAGGCCTGGCAACTACTGTATTACTGTTTGAGGGACCTTGCTGTAGACATTGCAAAATGAGAAGATGATCTGTTGTTTCTAATATTAATTGAGAGATAAGTAATTGTTCAAAGATAGGGGAGAACTTTCTGTTGTGCTTTGAATAATGCCCTGGGATTTTTGAATTCAACTGAGCCTATTGACTGGGCCCCAGTTTAATATTTTCAATATCCGTACCATATTTTATGGTCTCATTCATACATATACAAAGTATTATACTTAGAAAATGACAAAATCCATGTACTGCACTGACTTAAATTAGATGTTCTTTCTTGATTTAGTGGTGAGAAAAGGTTTGTACTGATTTCTATGCAGCCGAAGTAATAACAGAATTATCGAGACTGCCATACTTGAGCTTGCCACAATCGGGAACCAAATGACTCCAAAGGATTACTGCAGAGCACACACTGTTTCAGGAGAGATCAAGGATAGGGTGGAAGCTGTATGGCTATAATTCATTCACCAGACATTTGGCGAATCTATGCTAATTGAAAACAAATCTCAATTCAAAAGGTAGGAGAAATACTTTTCTTAGCTGATTTTCTTATAGCTTGGGAGGACAAAGAAAATTTAAAATGAGAAATTCCAATTTATAGGAATGGGATTGGGTCTTACTTTATTTTCTGTCAAAGTAATGACTTAGGATGGCCATAAGACGACCATAAGAGCAGAACTATGCCATTCTGCCCATCGAATCTACACAAATATTCAATGAGGTCATGACTGGTCTGATAATTCTCAACTCCACTTTTCTTCCTTTTACTCATAACCGTGAATTCTCTTACTAATTAAAAATCTCTCATCCTCGAACATACTTAATGACCCAGTCCCAAGAGCACTCAGTGGTAAAGAATTCCACAGATTCACAACCCTTGGAAGAAATTCCTCCTCATCTCTGTTTTAAATGTGTGACCCCTATTCTGATATTATGCCCTCTAGCACGAGACTCTCCAAAAAAGGGAACAACCTTCCGCTACCTACCAGGTCAACTCATCTAAGAACCTTGCATGCTTCAATGAGGTCAGCTGTTTTTCTTCTGTATTCCATCAAGTACAGGCCCAACCTACTGAAACCATACCTGCTTTAAGCCTGGTGAATCTTCTCTGGATACCTCCAATGCTAGTATATCTCTCCTCTGATAAGGGGCCAAAAACTGTTCAATAGTGGTATTCCAGCTGCAGTCTGACTAGTGCCTCATACACTTATAGCAAACTCCTCCACTTTTAGAACTCCACTCCCTTTGAACTAAAGGCCATTCACCATCATCTGCTGAACTTGGAATACTAGCTATTGTGGTTCGTTGACGAGGACTTCCAAATCTTCTGTTCTGTAACATTTTGCAGTCTTTCCCCATTTAAATAATATTCAACTCCTCAATTCTTCCTGCCACGGTGAAAATCTTAATTTCCCTACATTACATTCCACCTGCCTAGTTCTTGCCCACTCACTTAACCAGTCTAAGCCCCTCTGAAGGCTCGGTATCATCCTCAATACTTGCCGTCCCACCTATTTTTATGTCAAGAAAAAAACCGGGCTCCAGTACATTCACTTTCCTCAACAAGTCATTAGTATGTATTGTAAATAATTATCACACCAGCATTGATCCACGTGGCACTCTGCTAGTTACAGGTTGCCAGCCTGAAAATGCCCCTCGTTATCCCAATTCTGTCTTCTAGTAGTTAGCCAATCCTCTATCCATACTAATATACTACCTCTAACATCATGAACTCTTCTGTTAAGTTGTCTAACATGTGGCACCTTATGAAACACTTTCTGAAAATCCAAATATATTCCGTCCACAGCTTTCCCCTTTATCAATCCTGCTTGGTATTTCTCCATAGAATTCTAGTAAAATTGTCAGGTATGGCTTTTCTCTTCATGAAGTCATGCTGACTCAGCTTGATCATATTATGCATTAATAAATGCTTTGCTATTCCATCTTTTATAATAAACTCTAACATTTTCCCAATAACAGATGCTAAGCTAACTGACTTGCATATCAACTGCTTATTTACATGCATAAAGCTTGAGCAGCTGACCCATTCTGTCAATGCTGCATTTGTCAGCTGCTAGAAAGTGCAGTTAACATAAACACACCCTTCAGTTCATTTTTGTTTCCCTCGATGAGCAACTTTCTTCTCTCCCAACCCTTCCTTGACCAACCTCTTCAACTACAGTGTGGACACCAGAAATTTGCTCAGATGAAAATCTAAGTCCTATCATTCCAGTTGGAGTGCAATGCAACATCAGTTGTCTGCCCCGCCCAGTCGGGTAAAATGAGACTTTCCAGCACTGTTGCCTAGTCACCAAGCATCAATAAAAGATCTGATGTCATTGAGTCTGCGAAGCACAGCTACACTAACATAACATTTATGGTAAAATGCTGGACAGCCCTGATATAGCATCTTGGTGCACTGCAATGCACATAATACAATATTTAAACATCCGCACCTACCAATTCACACGCAGCAGGACAAGAAAAAGGTTACTGAAGCTCTCTAAGAAAAATGACACGTAAATAACTACACACAGGACCCTCCCAACTTTCCAGCAAAATTCAGACAAAAAAAGCACAGATTCTGCATTATGTATCTGCTGGGCTATCTTGTGTTTTACAGTGCAAGTATGAAAGTTCATTGCGCCTATTTGAAGCCTATCTTTCTCTAACTGACATTTGCAGCTTTTTATATTGGACTTACATTCTTCAATAACCCTGTTAGCTTTAATTTCTCGATTACACAATCCACACTCAAAATTCAAGACCTTGTAAATTTGAACTAAGAATGAGATGATATTTAGTGGGGGTGAGGTGTGTCAAAATAAAGCAGCCCTTCAGTCTTCTTTAAATTCCAGTGGTGACGTTGCTTAAAATGATCAGATTATTCATGGTCTGGAAAGGGTTAAATTTACCAATTGAACCTGTCATTTAATAGTAGAAGGGGGATATGGTGTCACTGCAACAGCCTATATGCACCAAAGATGATACACGAAGAGCTGACACTCCAGTATAGCACTGACGTGCAACTTTCACTCATTCACCTCTCCACCCAGTGAGGCTCAAAGCTTTTAGCAGGGAGACAAAAATTGCCCAAAAGAAGTGTTTCTGGCAGCCCAAGAAGCGACAGTTCAAGAAGTATCACAGCATTACTTGCTGCAATTGTACAGCAGAGATAGAGTTAAGAACAATTGTAAAACTATTCCAAATTGCTTTCAGATTTTTAAAAGTACAAGAAGAAATCTGACTTTTCTTCCAAGGTAAATCAAATAAAATATTTTACTAGATGTTTCAGAAAAAATTATCTGGGACCAGACAATTTATTACTGAAAGCATGACCAAGTAGATTTGGTTTAACCCCCCTGGGTTGGATATAATGTATTGAATATATTGGATAAATATTAAGGCCACCTCACAGTTGTGCTGGAGATAGCAGGACACGCCCAGATCTGCAGTGCAAACCTGCACTGGTCTCGAGATGACAGATCACAAGTCCCTCAATTTTAAAAACACAGCACTTGGAAAGCAAACGTTTTCCAAACAGATGTCTCCCTGCCACCCCCTCCCCCCAACCCCACTTCGCCAGCAAGTCTTACCCAGGGTACCGAAAGGCAGCTTGTTCCTCTCCCCCAGCATCAGGTTGAACCTGGGGTTGTCCCTCTTGAGTCTTCGCCATTGCCCCGTGGAGATGAGCACTTTACCCACTTCTGCGTAGATGGAGCTGTTCCGATCCCGGACCACAAAGGTGTACATAATAGGGACAGGGAAAGAGGCAGGGCACTTTGCACCACCGCCCAAGCTGATATCCCTGTCGCACTGGGCATTAAACTAGTTAAACCCCCATTAACCAGTCACCCTCCAACAGGCACCTGACCCCTGCAGCCCGAGCTGCGGGTGTTGCGGCAGCAGCCGAGCCCCCGGGGCTGTTGTGTGCTAACGGCTGAGACACGGACGTGCCGGGCTCCGGCAGTGGGAGGAGTAGCTCTGACTCCTCCAGAGGGGAGGAGAAGGGAAGGAAAGGGGTGTCTTCTCTTTGGTCTGTTTACACCTCTTTGTTCGCGGAGCCGCGGCCTCCTCTCGACATTTCAGCCCCGGCCCGTTCGCCAGCAAGCGCTGGGCCCATTCCACCCCAGCTCGACTGTTGTCCTGACCCGAGTTCGATCAGGCGAACGCTTCCGCTCCTGCCTCTACTTTTTCCCTTCCTCCCGGTTTCATTCTCCTCGCAGCCGCTTGATGCCTCGGCTCGATGCGAGTGGGAGGGAAGAGGTGTGTGGCCACAACGTCGCGCCCAACCGGCATTCTGGGAATTGTAGTTTTACCGTCCGGAAACTACAACTCCCACAATCCAACGGCTCCCCCGGGTTCTCCTTGGAGAGACGGGAATCGCAGAATCCCTCAAGTGCGGAGACAGGCCATTTGGCCCAACAAGTCTGCACCAACTCTCCGAGAAACTTCTCACCCGGACTCAGACCCCTACTGTAAACTTGCGTTGCTAATGGCTAATCCACTTAGCCTGTAGGAGGTTCTGTTCAAGTTCATGTTGGCGTACAGTGAAAGCAGAACTTGGAAATACTCAACAAAAGTTTTACAGCATCTTTGTCGATAGAGAAGCAAGAGTTAATATTTCAAGTCTGTCACCGTTTTTGCACCATGAGTGCATTTTGCCACTTTTATACAGAATCCCTACAGTGGGGAAACAGGCCATTCGGCCCATCAAGTCCACACTGACGGTCCAAAGGGCATCCCACCCAAACCTGTCCCGTCCCCACCCATATCTCTGTAACCCTGCATCCACCATAGCTAACCCACCTAGTCTGCACATCCCTGGATACTATGGGCAATTTAGCATGGCCAATCCACCTAACTTGCACATCTTTGGACTGTGGGAGGAAACCAGAGCACCCAGAGGAAACCCCAAGCAGACATGGGAGAACATGCAAACTCTACACGGACAGTTGCCCAAGGGTGGAATCGAACGTGGATTCCTGGTGCTGTGAGGCAGCAGTGATAGCCATTAAACACTGTGCCACCCTAAATGGATGTTTGGAACTGTAGCAGATGCTTATTTTGTGTTCCCGAGGAAATTACATGGAACTTGTGCACAGGATTTCTAACTGGTGCAATATGAATGCAAATTATTTGGTGAATTTTTAGCAGAAATTGCTTCTGGGAGCACTGGTAAAGTTGTCAAGGGTGGTCTAATCTCCCAGAATTAAGGATTGCTCTCTAGGAGCTGCCAACATAGAACATTACAGCGCAGTACAGGCCCTTCGGCCCTCGATGTTGCACCGACCTGTGAAACCAATCTGAAGCCCGTCTAACCTAAACTATTCCATTATCATCCATATGTTTATCCAATGACCATTTAAATGCCCTTAAAGTTGGCAAGTCTACTACTTTTGCAGGCAGGGCATTCCACGCCCTTACTACTCTCTGAGTAAAGAACCTACCTCTGACATCTGTCCTATATCTATCACCCCTCAATTTAAAGCTATGTCCCCTCGTGCTAGCCATCACCATCCGAGGAAAAAGGCTCCCACTGTCCACCCTATCTAATCCTCTGATCATCTTGTATGTCTCTATCAAGTCACCTCTTAACCTTCTCTCTAACGAAAACAGCCTCAAGACCCTCAGCCTTTCCTCATAAGACCTTCCCTCCATACCAGGCAACATCCTGGTAAATCTCCTCTGCACCCTTTCCAATGCTTCCACATCCTTCCTATAATGCGGTGACCAGAACTGTACGCAAT